CCGTCCCTCGCACCTCTTGGATCCCRGTGATGCAGGTGGCCGTGATTCAGCCAGCGGCGGCTTATCAACACGGGCGTGGAGAGGAGATAAGCGCTGGCAGGAAACATCTGTCACCCGCCGCTACCTGTCCCTTGCCCAGCGCTAAACCACTGTGTGGAACTTCAGGGGTTAACATCTACGTTGTGAAACATGCAAAAAACTTCACATCTCTGACTTCTGATTAATCATCCCTAAACAATTTAATGAAGGTAGTTGCAAATTTGCTTCCCCGAGGCCATGTACCGGAGCCCAACTCGGGAGCAAGGAACTCTCCCAGTTACAGGAATACATTTGCATTCATCTTCCTTGTGGTTACCCTGAAACAATCATTTTTCCTTGTCTCTGGCCGTGTCTGAAACCGCACTGTGTGCTTAGCAGTAACACAYACACACAGTGAGATTCAGATCAGAGATAATCCTTACTCAGTTCTTAAGTAGGTGCTTTCCCAACMCTTCTTTCCCTTGGAATCTACTCCAGTCAGCATGAATTTAGCATTGTTTGTGTGYTTTTGCTTCCAGGCTAAAGTCTATTGCACCAGAAAGTATGGCCACAGATGTATTTCTTATAGGAAGTACCCCCACGAAGAGGCACAAAGTTGGATATCCTGATTTATGCAAAGCAGTGACAGCAGCCACATGGTGAGAGAGAAGCCAGGAGAGAAGGAGGCTGTTGGCTTCTCCACCAGAAAAGTTAGAGGGAGTCACATGTTAGAGCACCTCATGGGTGATTTTAACTATTTTTTTCTTTTTCACATTTGCAAAAATCCACTGCTTTGAACAGTACTTCTTCTTTTTGGTACTGCAAGGGCTATGGTGGAGCTGCAGCTGCTGAGGACATGGAGATCTGCAGAACAAAGCCTCTGCTGGTCTCGGGGATGCACTGAGGCCCTTCACCACCATGCACAAGGCAAGAGACTCTGCTTCTTCTGGCCAGTGACGTGCCCAMAGTTGGGTGGCAGCATCATCCCCTTTCTGTGGCAGGACAGGCTGGCACTGCCAGGCTGCTGAGCGGGGCTCGCATCTTCGGCCCTCCACGACACATCTGTGGACAAAGGAAAGAGGTAGAAGTCCCCACCACAGTGCAAGAGAGCACTGGGCTGTTCCAGGGAGGAACCTGTGAGACCAAGGGGAGGACAGGGACTGCCCTTAGGATGATCATTAAGAGCAGCCAGCAACATCTCATCCTGCTGAGTTGGGAATTCTAATATGCAAAAAAAGGAGCTAAAATGTTCAGGGGCAGTGGGAACACCAAGGTGTGTGAGCAGGAGCCCTGTCCCATGGATGGTCTCTGTCCCTCCCAGTCCTCCACCTCTATCCACTTCTCTTCTGACTCAGTGTGAGCTTTCCTCCAGCCTGGTCCCTTGCTGATGAGCAAGTCTCTTAAAACTCTGATGTCACATTTTTCTAGGGATTACCACCCCAYGTCCCAGATTTTACAGGAAGAGCCTGTCCCCTGGCAGAGCCTTTCATCTCCAACTCATATATTTAACATAGTCAAAATWGGTGATATTCAGGGATCCTATTATCTGCTGGTGGGGAAGAAGCTGGCCTTGTGCCAGTTCCATGGGAAGAGATGCCAGMGCTTTGCAACTGCTGCTAACCAGCCACAAGCAGGAGCCCTGTCAGCAAACTGGCCCTGGACCTGGCTGCCTACCTATGGAAGCTCAAGGCAGCTAACCAACTCAGAAAAAAGGCTAATTAAACCTCATTTATAAAAGCCTATGTGGGACTATTATGTTAATTAAAGGCAATTTAAATGGYCTTATTTAGTAGCATTTGGGAGTAAGTTAAGCTGAATTAAGGCCACTTGAATCCTGAATGAAAATTTTATGCAGAATTTTAATGTTCTACTTTAGATTTAGTTAATTCAATTTAATTTTCTTAAGAATCCTGTATAGACAAAGCCTAAGCACTAAGGTACCTGCTCAGGTACCTGCTCTGAGTTGAGCTCATTCTTCAGCTTCTCTGGGAGCTGATGGGGCTGGGATTGGCTGCCTTGGGATCCATTTCTGACAGATTTGGTGTCCTAAATGCCTTCATCATCTGTGGAGTGACCTGAAGGTTCATCTCCCTGCATGCATGTACTTCTGGTGATGAACTGAATTCTCCCATCACCTGCAACTCAGGRATTCAAGAGGCTCACAGAGCTGCTTCTGTATTTTCTTTTGTGGTGAGCAGTGTAATTTATTACATAGGACTCAGCACATCCAGGAAATAAAGGAAAAACCAAACGATGATTTATGCCCTTTCTTTGGAAGAGGGTCATCATGYCTCATGAGGAAAGCGAACAGTAATGCTGGAAGCAAAGCTGAGCAACATCCCTTTATGGTAGTTTGTTTTCACAGTACAGCCACTCATGTTTGTGGAAATGCTGCCTGAGAGACCATCTGCTGCCCTGGCTGGACTTAATAAAAAGTCTCTGATGGGAGCACTGTGGTGGGTTGCTGGGTTTGGAGCCCACCAACAGAGCAAAGTGCTGTTTTGGACATGTGCCCAGGAGAGGCACTGGGGGAAGGCAACTCCCACTCATGTGTTGGGCAAGAGCTCCTGGCCTCCCAACTCGGGTGCTGTAGTGATTCCACAGGAGAAAGGGAGCTTAGGTCTTGTTGGAAAAAAAAGAAAATGTAGCAAGGGAAGACTAGAGGAAATGYTTATCAAGGATGTGCAGAACTCACATTTGGGGCCTGTACACCTGCAGTCCTTGTCACACCTCCCAATGCTGCCTTCACCCACGAGTATAGGTTTTCTACACAGCTACAGACGACTAGATGGATTTTTCTCTGAAACATTCTATTTTGAACTTATGCCATGGGTTTTAAGGAGATCCTCATAAGCACTGTGCAGAGTAAGTACTCCCTGAGTAGCCCAAGGGCTCCTTGCAGAGCAGGTATTTTTCTGAGCTCTGKAGGAGTGTGTGTGCTCCCAAGGGACCATACCAGGGAAATTTATTTGGCTGTCACTGTGTGCCTGACTAGACATGGCCTTAGGAACTCGTCCAAGTAAGCAGCCTTGATCTCTACCTTTGGTCTTAGTGATTGATGGCATTAAGTATAGGAYGAGCTTATTTCCTCAGTGACAGATGAATTGGGCACACCCTGACAATTTTTGTCTCRTGCAATTCTGTCAAGGAAAAGAGCCATCCTTCCAGGGGCTTTTGGGCTATAAATCTGTTATTGTTGAAGGATGAAGTGACAGAGGCAGCAGAAGCCTCACCATCACCTGGGCTGTCCCCAGGGCTGCACAGGGCCTTGGCTGGGTCTGGGAAACCAGTTCATCCACACCCCTGTGCCAAAGCTGGGGGGAACAGTCCCACTGTCCCTGCCCAGGATGCATCAGGGATTCAATATCTGATGATTCCTCTCCTCTGTGATCACCCCATCCCAGCATTGTGTCTAGCAGCAGTACCCAGAGCATTCTCACTCCAGCAGCACCCTCTCTGCTCGGAAGCAGCACATGAGGCAACCTTGGGTTTCCAGCAGCTAGGTCAAGAGCAGAGAAAAGCARCAAATTCAAGTAATAAATAATGCTGGGGAAAACCGAGCAATTGCGCAAGTGCCTGTGACAGCAGCATTTGCTGTTTTGCTCAGCTCTTCCCAGCTGTGGCCKTTTTGCCGGAAAATGTCCGTGGTCCCCTTATCCGGAAACATCCCTGCCTGCTCAGCCCTAGTTTAGTTTGGATGCGGTGTCTGCAGCTCTGGATTTGCTGTACTCTGACATGCCTGGGAGCATTCACTACTTCAGAACTAAAAGAATAATAGAAATTGAACAAACACTTCATGGTATTAACATAAGATGTTTAAATAGACAGGCAGAGAATATTTTATCCCACCTAGAGCAATGTGAAGAGCAGAAGATTTATGCCTATTGCTAAGCAAATACCTCCTAAGAAGTCACATCCATCTGGGAAGCGGTTCTTGTTCTAAGGAACTGAAAGCAAAATAAGAATGTCTGCTCTGGGTACCCAGGAAGTCAGGGAAGGACGTGTCAGTCCTGCTGAAGTCCAAGTCTCAAATCCAGTGGTTAACTCCTGGACAGCTTTGGGACCTTCTTTTCTAAAAGGGCTTATCATGAATCTCTCGGGACACAGCATGGGTTTTCCCAATGCTTTTGTTAGGAATGGCAGGTCCTGGCTGCCTGTCAGAAGTGAATTTCCTCCTTCTCCGGGTCGG